TCAAGTAGATTTTCCTCGCCTTCCTTTGTCAAATAACAAAATCGACTTTAAAATGTAGAACTGAATCCAGGATAAGACAGGATCTGTAACCTTAGACCATCTCCTAGTTTAGATGTAGGTTTAACAAGTTTAGATGTAGGTTCATACCAGTGGTGGGATTCAAAATTTTTTACTACCAGTTCTGTGGGCATGGCATGACTTGGTGGGTGTGGCTTGGTGTGCTTGGTTTGGTGGGAATGGCAGGGGAAAGATACTGTAAAATCTCAATTTCTTCCCAATCAGCTGGGACTCGGGAGGCAGAGAATAGATGGGGCGGAACCAGTCAGAGGTGGTATTTATCGGTTCTCTGAACTACTCAAAATTTCTGATACCAGTTCTCCATAACTAGTCAGAACCTGCTGAATACCACCTCTGGTTCATACTTATGACAATTCTCCATTATTGTGCCCTCTCAGAATAATAGTTTTTTTATAACAATAGTTGGCAATATTTTGAGAAACATGCCATATGCATGTTAATTAATTCTATTTCCTATTGAATCATTTCAGATCCTAAGGATGTAAACTGTACAGTCAAAACATCAACTGTAAGTAAAGTGGTGTTTTTAACAATATCTGAAGACTGATGTTGTTTGTGGGAGAATGGGGTTAGGGAAAAAAATAATGTTGGAAAATAACTTATTCAGCCTCCTTTTCCGTTAATTTGGTGTTCCAGCAAAACTGCTGTGATTCTCATAGATTGGGGCACTATACGTACACCTACTGGTTTATCTTATTAAGCATTTGAACTAAAACCGAAGAGATGACTTTATTCAATAGTTTCAAGATGCCCCAAATGTTCCCCCACTGGATTACTCTAATGTGTTTTCCATATGGCCTGCCCTCAAAGACCATTGGGAAGCTGCAATTGGTCCAGAACACAAGAATCACCGTATGCCCATGTAATTCCCCTATTCAAAAGCTTCACTGACTTCCAGTAGGCTTCCAGGTAAAATCTTGGGTGCTGGTTATTCCCCATAAACTACCATGTGACACAAGACTAGCTTGTTTGTGGGACCATCTCTGGTTATATTGTCTTGTCCCACATACTGTCCCAAGCTAGTCATGATTCTTTATGAGATAACAACTTCATGTTGTTGGACCCAGGAAATTTCCCTTCTTTATGAGCGCTTATCCTTTAGAGTGATCTCCCCCTTCCCAGATTTCATTGTCTTATCCCCTCCCCACTAACCTTTCAAAAAAGATTAAAAACCTTGTTTTCCCACTAAGCATTTTAGTTGGGATGTTGGTTGTGGTCATCTTAGAGATGCATATATGTTTCGATATTTATTGATACTGTTTTCAATTTTATGTTAGCCACACAGAGTTGCTTTGGTGATTTGTGTAGTCATAGAACATTGATTAAATAAAATAAAATGAATTAAAATAACATATGCCCATTGATTAACACCAAATAAGACAATTTCTACTAATATCCTCTTTATAGAGATGGTACAAATCATCCCGCTGTCATAAATGAACTCAGTACCTGCTGTTCCTTTTGTTGCTCCAGTCCCAGCTCCTTTGCCCTCCCCTCCCAATCTTCTATTGCCACATCCTTCTTAATTGCACCTATTGAAATATATTTCAGAAACATCACCTGAATGTCCCCAGTAAATTCAGCATTTTGAAGCCAGCATTAAGCAGTAAGATAGCAGATACATCTCGGGTAAAGCTAAAATATTTTCACAAATAATTTTAAAGTACTTATTACAATCCTTGAACAACATCTGCATGCTATAGAAAAATTCATGCAACTTAATGAAATAGTCTTTGTTTAATCACATTTGTTCCAATTCTTCATAATCAGATCTCATTGTCATTTATCTGTCCTTGTGTAGATCAGTGTATCATGTGGGTTTAATTTGGGTGGGCGATTACTTTTACTGCTTTAAAAATATCTTGTTAGACTCCGATATTGCTGGCTTTACCCTTAGGAAAGATGAAACAGCCAGTTCAGATGATAGAATAGAAAAAGTGGTCTATTCAAACATCCTATTAAACATCCTATTAAACATTCCAAAGTTTTAAGAAAGGTCAACATTTTGTTACTTTACCAATGTGCTTGTTAAATACTGATTCCTTTACTAATGCACTGATTAAATGTTTGTAAGCCGCCTATAGTTGCATCAAAGCAAGACAGGTGACTGTTGTGGTCTGCCAGTGGCCTGCCGAGCTGGCAGCAGAGTCGGATAGTGAGGAGGTTGGGGAGGAACATGGCCCAGTCCTGGAGTCTGAGGAAGGCTCAAACGTGGACTCTGTGTCGGAGGCAGAGAGGGGGGCCAGGGCCATCTGGGAGTTAGGTGCTGCCTCCAGAGCTTCCATAGTCAAACATCAGGAAGACAAAGGAACAGGGGGAGCCTGTTCCCACTGTGCACATGCACAGAGCTGCCAGAAGGCAAGAACATTTAAGATAAATGGAGTGACTCAGGAGTAAGGCTTGGAGATGATTGGCCCCTCCC